TAACATTAAGTATGGTAGTTTCTGCAGATAATAAGACCCATAAATTCATTAATTAGTGCATCTAATTGTGGATTCAAAGCGTTCACATGGATCTGCATCAATTAAAATTAATAAATCAGTACTAGAATAGTTTAGCTTAGTGTTAGTGATCTCTCCCAATTTTCATTTCCCCTGGATGATCAATACAGCTTTTGTTGTTTTTTAACAAAATACTTCAATTTGTACAGAAGTTCTAGAATACAAACATACAGTGGTCAGATCATATACAAATGAGTTGGACATACCAATAGATCTTTGACATTTCCTGTCTAAACCAAACAATGTTACATGATTATACAGATTATACAGATTATAAACCAAACAATGTTACATGATTATATATAAACATGATTACCAAACATTTGCAGTTCAATATGCACCTACATTTTTTAGCCATTTGTCTTCTCTTCCTGACCTGCTGTCATGCTATTCCTTTTTTAAAATGAAACTAGTATAAAGCTAGTACCAAAATTTGAGATTTTTAACATCTGATTTTCCTGGAAAAATACTTTATTAGTTTTACCTTTAAAAGAACAACATAACTACAAATTATGTACAACTGTTTTCCCTACTCTATCCTTCCCCTCCCTTACTCTTCCCTTTCCCCTCTCTTAGGCTTTCCTCTCTCTCCCTCTTGGCCTATGCCAAGGCCTATTTGTCTTTTTGTTGTACTTAACATCTGATTTTCAATGAAATATTGTAGTGCTCCATTCCAAAAGACAATTGGCATTTGGCCCACAATAACCAGTATTTGTCCCATATTCCAGAAAGAACCTATATATAATAATAATTCTTGCAGTACCTGTTTTACAGGCCTAACATGAAAAGTATTTTTACCCTGGTCAAAACAGTTATTCAGTGAAGAAAAGGAATATAACAAAACAGGAGTACATTTTATCTCATCTGGCCAAGCTCTGAATTTTGAAATAAATATTATATGAACTCAAACAATTAGAATTATTTCTCAAGTTAAACTCCTTGATTAAACAGAGAAATAATTCATGCAGTTTTCAGAGCTTCTATGGTTCAATTACTAAATCGTTCACTGAGACTGTAAATAGGTGCGGCAGGTTGAAGACTTTTCTCACCATCTTCCATTATGAGATAACACTGAAAATATTGCATTGAAGAATGTATTAATATCGAAACTGTGAAACTTTTTAAAATATAGTAATATAGAAAATATTGCATTGAAGAATGTATTAATATTGAAACTGTGAAACTTTTTTAAATATAGTAATATAGAAAATACTGCATTGAAGAATGTATTAATATTGAAACTGTGAAACTTTTTTAAATATAGTAATTGTTTAAGTGTATGAAGGAAATCAGAATCCCCATGGTTTGCTCTGCTCCTGTATCAAAACAAAAGAATAGGAAAGATCTCCTACAAAAGCCTTACAACCAAATCCTTATTATTTGACTGTAGATAGCTAACAGTAAAGCCACGTGATCAGAGATAATTCCTTAAATTACTTAAATCTTAAATCTTTCATACAAACGCTGGTGAAAACACTTGGCTGCTCTGAGAAATGAAGACCTGGCTTGCACAAGAGTGATTTGGGATTAGCTAATAGATAGACACATTCAATATTAAGAATATAGACAAGTTATTCTCTTTGAGGGATTGCTTTATACCAGCCACCCAACTTAATCTAGAGATAATACTAAGAGTTTTGAACTTCCCATATTGAAGTTATCTGGAAAAATAAGCAAAATTCCGCCACTTTTAACTTCTGCCTAGGAAACTATGCCGAAGTCATTTTAAAAATCCCAGAAGGTGGCAGAGCTAAAAAGCATTTCGTAGCGCTGCCGAGAAAACTACTACAGTAGATTGTATATATAGTGTCTCCTGCTTGAGCAGGGGGTTGGACTAGATAACCTACAAGGTCCCTTCCAACTCTTGTTATTCTATTCGTCGTGTTCTTCATCGTCACATGAGAATTCCTCTCCAAAGACTCCAACCCCCAAGATGCACTTCGACTGGCTCTCTCTCTCTCTCTCTCTCTCTCTCTCTCTTTGACATTTTAAAATTAAAAAGGAAACCGGCCGTTCCATTCGTTTAAAAAAAAAAAAAAAGGCGGGAACAACAATTACTGGGCTTCTTAAGGATCTAAAGCCCGCCCCTTCCCACCTCGTGAAAATTATGATCGTAACCATCGAAGGAGGGCTAGAGCGGAACACTGGCCGCAAGGCGATCTGCGGGTCGTAAAGCCGGAAGCGGAAGTGGCGTCGGGCCGCCTTTTTTGCTTCAGGTTCCATTTTCTTGAGGACCGTTGGCGGCGTGTGGTGGGGCCTGTTTCGGGTTGGCGTCCTAACTTCCCTGCGCACCATGACGGACCGTTACACGATTCACAGCCAGTTGGAGCATTTGCAGTCCAAATACATCGGGACTGGCCATGCCGACACCACCAAGTGGGAGTGGCTCGTGAACCAGCACCGGGACTCCTATTGCTCCTACATGGGCCATTTCGACCTGCTCAACTACTTCGCCATCGCAGAGGACGAAAGCAAAGCCCGCGTCCGCTTCAACCTCATGGAGAAGATGCTGCAACCCTGCGGGCCGCCCGCCGACAAGCCCGACGAGTCTTAAGCTTTGCAGCCGTGCAGCCCACCCCGAGCGAGGAAGGATGGATGGATGGATGGATGAATGAATGAATGAATGAATGAATGAAGGAGCTCAGCCTTGCCGACCCTGCGGACCCCTCGCCCCACTTGGGGAAACATTGGATTCTGTACCGCCTCCTTCCATCCACCCGTGACTGCTTGTGGACTGCCGCAGTTAAACTGATCCCGACGTGTTTCGTACACCCTACATGGCGGGGAGGGCATTTTCTGAACTTTTGCCCTCTGTATCCTGAGGGGACTTGGGACGAAGACGGAGCAGAGCGAGGCCCGATGGTTTCACGCAGACGGGCACGGGGGTGGCTTGCTTTAAAGACTTGCAAACGGATCTTTTTTCCCCCCTCCCTTCATTTTCCACTTTGGAATGTTTGGGAGGCGTTTTCACAATTCGGTTTAATAAAAGAGGATGCTTTTTTTAAAAGAAAAGTAAAAATAATTGTGTGGGTAATCAATTGAAATAGCAAACCAAGGAGCCACTGACAGATGGCATAATATTAATGCAGCTCCAAAATAATCTCAGTTTGTACCTGGTGGCTATGCAGCCCTTGAGCAATCTCAGGTTAAAAAAAAATGTATAGTTGGCCATCTGTATGATGGTTTCTGTACAAAGATCCCTATGCTTGGTCATCCTATTAAATTAGCTTTAATGACAAAGCCAAAGGTTTTTATTTGTTAACCAGTGCATTGATCAATAGCCCTGTCAAACTGTTTTGCATAACATATTTTGTGATACCTAACTGGGTGGTGCTGCCAGATAAAACCAGTACAAATTTTGGGGTCCTCCTGGATTCTGAGCTGCTCAATGAGAAAGTAGGTAACTGGTCAGGAGGGCTTTTGAACAGATCTATTTGGTGTACGAATTATGTCCTTTCCTGATGAGCAGGCCATTCACACAGTCATTCATCCCTTAGTCACTTTCCATTTGCACTATTGTGATATTCTCTGCAAGAGCCAGTTTAGTTGTTAAAGCAACATGCTAGAAACTGGGGGACTAGGAGTTCAAGTCTTAAGGTTAAAAGTAGCAGGGTGACTTTGGGCCAGTCAGTCCCAGACCTTGGAAGAAAGCATTGGAAAACCACTTTGGGAAATTTTTGCAAAAGGAATTTCACTCGGGGTGTCTAGTTAGCTACAGGGATGTTTTTCTCCTATGGTTACTGCCTAAGTAAGATCTGAAAGAATTGGAGACTTTCTGTTCCCAGCTATAAAACACAGACCTTGTGATACCTAGAAGACATTTCTTGATAGCTGTCTTGTCCTGTGGAACAACATGTCCACTGAATTCTTTGTGAGTCAACACTTTGAGGCTTCCATAAAATATATTTGTACTGATACTGTTTCATTGTTTTTAGTTATTTACCGGACATCTTAGTTCTATTGTGTAATGGCTCTAGAGTCATTTTTTTATTAAAGCAGCATAGGAGTTGACCAAAGGGAAAAAATAGAAAACATAGACCGTAAAGCCGCAAACATTCTTACTTACATAAGATTATCACCTGTAAAAACTGGAATATGACTGCTAGTTTTATTATCACACTTCAATCCATCATACAAGCTTTAAAAGAGATGGGAGGCTGAATGTATGTAAACTGGTTTGCTGAACTCTTCTAATTCAGGTGCTGTAAAAAGTAAAGGCCTTATACTATCAGAAGTTTGGTGGGCATGTTCTCATCTTCTTCCTTGAGTTGGAGCCCTAAGAGCAGGCAAGCATTAATTTAGGTAGTCTAAAATAAAGCAGATGATAACAAAACAAGCCTGATGGACTGGCCAATTTGAGAAAGTGCAATATGGTTTCACAGTTCATTAGTAGATATATTTGTTCTAGTATTACATTGCATCTTTGGAATATAGAAGAACAAGTAGCACAGGAGAAAAGGGAATATGAACAAAAGTTGGTTTAAGAGGCTGAGGGAAATAAATTAGTTAAGTATCTACAGGATGGGAAAAAATGGGAAATAATGTGCTATTGATAGCTCCAGTTTGCAACTCTTAAATTTAGGTCAACTCTATATCAATCACTACACCAATAACAAAGCCAGTTTGATGTAGTGGTTAAAATGCTGGCCTAGAAACCAGCTGGCTGGGTGACTTTGAGCCAGTCATTCTCTCAACCCAACACTCCTCAGGGTTATATGGAAGAAGTATCGGGCATGTTTGCTGCCTTGGGTTATTTATAAAAAAAGGTGGAGTATAAATAAACTGACTAGGGAGGCTTAAGAATTCACAGGAAATACCAGAATTTTGGAACAATTTTACAATACACTAAAGCCTTTGATAAAGCTGTCAGTATAGTAGTTATGTTTAATTAAATTGATCTGTGGCTTGCTATTTCAAGTAAATCAAATGTATATAAATCAGAATAAGTCATGCAAATGGTATGTTTATGTAAACATAAACATGAAAATGAAGTAAAAAAAATTGAGAAATAAATAATATGTCATAGATATGAAGCATACAGTAAATGCTACAGTTTTCCAATTCTAAATTGAAGGCTACCTGTACTCTACTTATCTAGGAATCATATGGGCCCAAATCCTCTCAGATCAATATGCTGGATTAGACTATAGCCTTTTAATCTATATAATGTATCTTACCCAGATTCTGTTCCAGAGGAAATGGGAGATATTTTTTTGTGTACTGCTCCAGCTGAAATTTCAATACCATGTCCTTTAAAACAACAAGAAAGAACTCTGAAAAAATACCTTGAGAATGATATATTTGAATGAATCAGCAAATTCAAGTAATTTGAAGCACTGTTAATTCAAATTACATTTGCCCATTTTAAATTAAACACTGGAATTTAACTAGCTCAGTAGTTAATCCTAAATCCACTTTTTGAACATTACTCAAATAGAGGTGGCTCAGGGACGCGGTGGCTCAGTGGCTAAGATGCTGAGCTTGTCGATCAGAAAGATTGGCAGTTTGGCGGTTCAAATCCTTTTTTTTGTTGTTGTTGAGCAAATAGACTGCAAGCTTTTGCATCCCATCGCGTAATGGAGTGAGCTCCCATTGTTTGTCCCAGCTTCTGCCAACCTAACAGTTCAAAAGCATGTAAAAATGCAAGTAGAAAAATAGGGACCACTTTGGTGGGAAGGTACACCTTCTGTGCACCTTCACTGTTTAGTCATGCCTGGCCACATGACCACAGAGATGTCTTCGAGCGCGCTGGCTCTTTGGCTTTGTAATGGAGATGAGCACCACCCCCTAGAACCGGAAAAGACTAGCACGTATGTGCAAGTGGAACCTTTACCTTTACAAATAGAGGTATGATTTGTGCTGCTTGTATGATTTTACTTTGAAGTTAAGTCAGAGTAAGATTAATCAGCAAAAAGATCTTGAGCATCAATTTTAGCTCACCCAAATGCTATATGCTAATATACTATATAATATGTAACTGGGGAAGCAAACATTACAAATTATACAATCTTGTTTTTAAAATAATAATGTAGAACAGCAAAAAACTTGCTGAAAACTATACATTAGACTAATGTACTGTTCCATTGTATGTTAAGTTAATATCACATAATTATACATGACTGCAGTTGGCATATAATTAGCTAAACTTGATTTATAACATAAGATTTATATAACAATCGAGAAGATTTTTTTAAAAAGGATTTCCAATAAATTCTGTATTGGACATAAAATTCTACATATACAGCAGAGGGTTCCAGCCTTGGCAACTTTAAGACCTGTGGACTTCAACTCCCAGAATTCCACAGGTTGAAGTCCACAGGTCTTAAAATTGCCAAGGTTGGACACTTCTGATATATAGTATCTGCGAATATGGCATTACTGGTGAAATACTCCAGTAGGTGTTGTGTTTCTGATGGGATGACTTTAAGCATTCAGTATTTCTAAACATTTCAGATATGTTGCCTACCTGTTACAGATGGGCCAGTATTTGCTCCTTGTAATCTGTTCTGAAGTAGTGTCCCCACAGCATTTGTTAAAGTTGGTTCTTTTTTGGAAATTCCTTGTTTCCCCTAGAAAACAGCATAAATAACTAAACAGCATCACAACAGAGGCTCAGAGTATAATATAATCTTGTTTATATTTAAAAATATCTTCAAAGGAGCAAGAATAAAAGAAGATAAGACACTGATATTGATTGAGCAATTTTTAGATATTCCCAGTAAACTTCACTTGGAAGGGAAATTCCTATCTAAGCAATTTTCCTAATTCATTACTGTCTACCACATAACTCTGATTCTCAGTTAACGGACTTTGTCATAACAAAATGACATTGAAAATTCTTTATAATTGTTGTTGAGCAAATAGACTGCAAGCTTTTGCATCCCATCCCAACCAAAACCTGGAATACTTTGGGAGAAATTACTAGCTCTCCTCCTTGCTTGCTAAGTAGTAAAATAGAGTATTACAATCTAGTACAATTTTCAGTTAGTTATGTGAATGATAAGGTTATAAAGGACAATTCGGTGAGTCTTGATAAACATGGCAGTATTTGCAGAAAACCATCAAACTCTTGCTTCCAAATAGAGCTTTAAAATCTCTTGTATTCTCAATTTTTTTATTTCAGCTCTACTCATAACCATGCTGCTGGACAGAATAACAATAACAATAACACTTAGACTAATATAGTTTCATAATGTTTTACAGCACTCTAAGCAGTTTACAGAGTTAGCATATTGCCCCCAACAATCTGGGTCCTCATTTTATGAACCTTGGAAGGATGGAAGACTGAGTCAACCTTGAGCTAGTCAGGATCAAACTCCTGGTAGTGGGTGGAGTCAGCCTGTAATACTGTGTTCTAACTACTATGCCCCAATGGCTCATTATTAATATAATAAATCACAGTTTATAGTATATTAATAAAAACTTGTTTGTTGCAAAGTAAAGCCAATTCTTTTCACCTTTGGAAAAGTCTTTAGAAAGTGAAATTCCAAACTTCTACAAATGACAGAACCCAAAATTTCTTCTAAGATTTTCCTTTGATTTTTGCTTTAAGCACAGCATGTAAAACCACATAATCCTCCTCTGGTCATTGAACGAACTATTGTCTTCCAAAAGCATTCACTTTGAATACATTTTAGTATGGTTAGCTTTTTTTAAATTATGGCTTCTGAATATTTTATTCACATAATTGATCCACCATCTTTTTCTAAGTTTTGGAAAAGATGACCATTAGGAATTCTAATTTAATATTCTAGTCCAAAGAAAGCTTTTATGTAATTACATGAAGAATAATTCTAAAACAATTAACTTAAAGGAAAAGTGAAGAACCATTATTGGAAAAGAAAAAAATGTAGTTTTCATCTGTTCTTTATTCCAAAAGATTACTTGTCATTTCCTGAACCTGAAGTGAAAGAGCCACAACAATGACAACTTTGGTCAAAATTCTATAGTGTATGATGATCCTTCAAAAAAGGATGAGAGAAAAATGGTAGAAGCAAAGAGCTTGAATAGAGTCCAGTTACTTACTGAGGCTGGTTTGCCTCCCTTCTGGCCTGGTGCAAAGGATTGTCTGGCAGCTTGTTCTTTGCAAAAGTTGATGTGCCTTTCTGCAGCAGTCTGATTAAACCTTCTCATACAGTAAGGACACTGAATATAATCTGAATACAATAAAGCACCATCGTTATCTCAAATGATACTTGGAGGATGAGTATATGAATGGCAATTTAATAGAAATGGAGCAAATGAATGAATGGTATTTCCATAGTTCTACTCTTAAGAAAGCTATATTTAGTGTAAAGAGCCACAGAAATGACCTTGGAGAAAAGGTTATCAAAACAAAAGCATACATTAAGTCCATGAAACAGAAAGTGTGAGAAAGAAATTCAGACAGGCTGAATTCTAATTCACCGTGATGTGAGAGAAGGGCAAATACACTCCGGCTTTCAAGATTTTAATTATAACTATATCAATAAAGCCAAAGTTTCCTGCTCTGCTTCAAAGGTTGACAGCTGGTTTCCTAATATGTTTTCTTCAAAACCCTTCCAAATTATTTTTTAAACACTTTCGAGTTTTGAGATTAGATAGAAACACTATTTGAAAATATGAGGGCCACTACACATTCACTGAATCACCATCTGGAGCCATCATATAGTAGGAAAAAATTAGGCTGAGAAACCTTTAGAGACTATTACTGTCTACAACCATGAGCCAGAGACTTGGTTCTTCCAAGAAATTTCTACTTTTAAGTCAAGATGTAGTTTCAGAACAAGTAAATCACCTGGGTTAATGGACGGAGGTGGTGGTGGTGGAAGAGGACGGCCTTCTTTCATGGCTCGAGTTGCAAGTTTTGCTGCTCTGATGGCTGAAATAAAATCTTCATGCTGTTGTCTCCAATTTGACTTTTTCTCTCGTCCATTCTGGAACGGAATTAGATGTTGTTTTGAAAAACAATTTTAAGAGATTTTGAACAGATTACAAATAAGATAACATTCCAATGGCTATTATAAGAGGCAGCTTGAATAATAGTATCCCCATTTCTGGATGGAAATGGGGATACTACGGTATGAGTTTTAGTCCTGCCTTAGGCTGGACTAAGCTGGGTGTCCCTGGGGCAGTCACACCCTCTCAGCCCTAGGAAGTAGGCAATAAAAAACCACTTTTGAAAATGTTGCCAAGAAAACCGCAAGGACTAGTCCAAAGAGTCTCCAAGAGTCAATATTGGCTGGAAGATACAAAATATGTATATTGTTATCATTAGTTGTTTAGGACAAACATAATTTTCCCAAATTTGCTTTTGTTGTAGGAGAGCCAATAGTCATTGGATGGGAATGACGAAAGTTTGGAAGAGAAGATTGCTTGGGAGGTCTGACAGACTACTAGGACAAACGGAAGGGAAGGTGAGAAGCAGCCCATTTCATCACACCTTTTCTACAGGAACATAAATCAGCATACCCAACACTCCCTCATTTTTCCCCTTCCACCACAAGCCTGAGAGATATACTGGGTTCAGATGGAATGACTGACCCAAAGCCATTTATTTGCCATGGCTGGGTATATGGATAAGGTGAGAAGCTAAATTCATTCACTCAGGTGGAAGAACATGGTTGAATCCTGATAGCAGCTACATGGATGAGGCAAAAATGGTACACCCTTGAAGTTTACATTTCTAGGCCTGGAAATACAAATGTCACCTCTTTGCAAATAAGGGATGAACCCAACGGTGGTATTCAGCAGGTTCTGACCCGTTCTGGAGAACCGGTAGCAGAAAGTTTGAGTAGTTCGGAGAACCAGCAAATACCACCTCTGACTAGTCCCACCCCCATCTATTCTCTGCCTCCCGAATCCCAGCTGATTGGCTGGGACTTCTTTTCTTTTTTCTGGGACTTCAGGAGAACGGAGTGGGGTGGGGAGGGAATGGGATTTTGCAGTATCCAACCCCTGCCATGCCCACCAAGCCACGGCCACAGAACTGGTAGTAAAAAACATTGAATCCCACCACTGGATGAGCCCCCTAATGCTATTCCTGTTAACAGGATTTATTTCAAATGAATGTTGGCAGGGCAGCAGAAGACAAATAATGTTCACCCCATTTTATATCTGATAAGGAAAGGCTGGAATTCCATGCATTAGCTAAATGTTGGTGATCAAGTAATAAATGTTAAGGGACTTTCCAAGATCTCTATATTAGGTCAGCCCCAGTCTACAAAAAGAATCCAGCTTCTTCCTTAAAGCATATTGATGGAAACCTGGGAATGGTGTTGACAGGTCTACCTTCGTGGGTGGCTTCTTTTTCACTGTTGGGATGTCAGTTCCCTGTAGTCGTTGTTTCAAAGAATTGAACGGTTTGCGCTTCTTGTTGAAAATTCTTTTGCATATCAGATTGTGCCTTAACTAAAGGAAAGGTAAAGTCATATAGTCACGTTCCTAAACTAGCGCAGTCGTATATTATTTATTGTACTTCAAACTCTTCTCTCCCCTCCCGCCCAGGGAAAATTATGATCATTTCAACCTTTAGTGTATTACAGTATCTTGATGCTTAATTGGGAATAATAATGTGCTTGTGTGTCACACAAAGTTACAGGTTCCTTCCTTCTGTCTACCCCAATTCATGGCATGTAATCACTGTTTTTAGTAGGCTAATTGGCCAATCTGTTTTGAGTCCAGTTTAACAGGAAGGATTGCATACCACAGAGAAAAACTGAGCCAGTAGCTATTTTTAATCTGTATGTATCAAGTTTATATCCCACTTTGTTTATCACACAATCTATATGTGGCATGCTTGTGTAGTGACTCCAAATGTTCTGTTTAATTTTCTCTGAATTGTGATACAGATGCTGGGAAGATTTATAAACCATTACTTAGACCCTACTCAATTAAAATATTAAGGGCTTGGGTTTTCCCTTACCTAATATGTAGTTACAGGTAGTCCTCAACTTATGACAATTGGGACCAGAATTTTTGTGGCTAAGCAAGACAGTCATTAAGTGAGCTGTGCTGGATTTTATGAACTTTTTTTTTGCCACAATTAAGTGAATCACTACAGCTGTTAAGTGAATTGTAAGATTTTGAATCCTGATTCTGAATCAATAAGCATAAATTGCCAGAGTTGGGATATATCACCACTTTCACATTTAGTACAGAATTATATTTTTATGAACAACTCTGCTTTACAAAGGCTTTTGTTTTGCTTGCATAAATCAGTACAATTGTCATCAACCTGCTAAACATCTTCCTGTTTTTATTTCAGTTGTTTCTGAGGAGATGTTCATTGAGTTTGAGCAAAACAGGCATTGGTTCTTTTTTTTAAAAATCACTTAAGTACATTCAGTACAAAATGCTCTTATTTTACCAGTGCTTCTGGTGCAAAATGCCTTCCACAAGTGTCGCAAAGAAACAAATTTGGTGCGCCAGCCTCTGTGTGGAACAGGAACAATGATTATTTACCTCTAAAGTATAAGCAGTTTTCAAACATCTCTGTAAATATAGTCTTAAGCATCCTTCCTAAACCTAAAGGAAATAGATTAATATGTAGTATCCAGAACTTATTTTATCTACTATGAAGGAATAACTGAATAGTATACCCTAGCTGAGTTAAAAGAAAGTTCCAGTGCTCGATAAAACTTAATTCTGAATCAGTACAGACAGGATTGACCATTCAGGCTGAATATAATGACTTAATACTGTTATGAATTGCATTGCAAGAACTGTCCATTTTATATTTCTTAAGTTATATGTCTATAGCTTTAAAAGTGAAAGATATCTTGAATCTTCTGCCTCCACTGAATTTCTTAATATAACTTTGAAGCAGAGGATGCAGAATTTTAATGAAAATCCTCAGAAGCTTAAGATAAAAATTGACAAAATTAATGGCATCATCTTGCATGGGCTATTTCAGGAATTTTCTTTCAACAAATTTCTTTGAACACAGATACCTTAAAAATAAAATATTGCAGCAAGTCATCTACACATTTATTTTACTGCTTTTAGGATACTAAAGAAGCCTAACAAATGTTGCTTGAGATAGCCTGTTGGAAATAGGAGCCTACATGCTAAGCAGAGTAATTACACTAAATAAATATTCTGAAAACAGTCACTCATTTAAAATATTTTTATCCCAAATATTAATTCAATTCTCTCAAGGTAGAATAGTTTGCAAAAATAATGAGTTTGTGGGGCTATTTAAAAACTGTTTAGGAATCCATCTGAAATTATCAGAGTATGACAGAGCATACTAAAACATAAGTTTATTTGGCTTTTGGCTTTGGCACTGTAGCTTATTCAAAAATTATCAATTGCCTTAGCATCATTTGCAAACCTGGCTAATGCCAAGTGTAATGTAATTAGAGAATCATGGCTACACAGCCCTTGCCATAAAGTGGTGTATGTGTGTGTGCATGTGTATATATTCCCTCTTTTCCCCTGAAGTATGGTGAATCATCATGATCAAATATAGGGCATAATACAGGAGTAAATTAAATATCCTTAATTGTGCATTTATATTTTAATTCTTTACGTTCTTTACATTATGCTGAACCTAAATTGAGGAGTCCTGGTGCTCTCTCAGCTTGGTTGTTTGCTAGCGGACATTTCATTACCCAAATTATTTATTTATTTTTATTTATTTTATTTTGTCAAACGATTATTAGATAAGAGGTATAAGTATAAACATGGTTATGAATACATGAAATGGATACAAATAAGAAAAGAAAGGAACAATAGGACAGGGACGGCAGGCACGTTGGTACGCTTATGCACGCCCCCTAATTTGTACTGTCAATACTAGTAGGGAATGAGATTTGTTCTCAATTCTGAAAGTAAACAACTAAGCTCAGAGAACACCAAGGACGCCTCATTTCAACCTTGACCTACCAACATTCTCCTTTTAACATTCTATTGGTGTCCACAAGTAAGAGTGTTACAGAAACAAACATGTCCTCTCCTAAGAAACCATCCAGGATGAAAAAAAGACACGTCAACAATGGCTACCTAAAAAGAGTTTTTTGTTTTTTTTAAAAAAAGATTTTTTAACACAGTTACATCACTGCATGGGATTTATCATAAGATAGTAATTGAATAAAGACTGCAGATACTTCTAAACACATCATAGCAGTTTGAAATACTTTTATATAAAAACACTGTCAAATTGTTTCACTGTGATAGTTACCCAACATTCAAATTAGCTACGTTGTTGGGTACTTCATACCTGTGGCACATGCTGTGCTTTCAGAATCCAAACTCATTTCATAGCGCAGTGCTTTCAGGTTCTCTTTAATTATTATTTTTTTCAGGAATACAGATGTACCCAATAGCTGACTTTCTGTTGTCTAGTTCCCTTGCTTGTAGGATTCCAAGTGAAATGTCATTGGCTGACCAATTAAACAATTATGACACAGCCAGTTCACCCATTATGTAATGATGCACAGTATTATGTATTTTTGATGCCTTACTTGTAAAATAATAAAGGTAGGATAGAAATTTAATAAATACTGTAAATATGGAACCTTTAGCCAGTTTCAAAGCTGTTTTTAAAGATAGTTTAAAGAGCAGTGCCAAAGTACTGTAGATACTATTAATATGAAATTATACAGATTCCTGTAAAATCTTAAATTTAACTCCTGCTATCTAAGCCAAGTAATTTTCCTTGAATCACTCTCCTGTATAAAGCAACCAAGAAATATAAACATAAATTCCTCCTCCTCCTCCTCCTCGCATTATTCCCGCAAGTGCGGGGTCCAATTTTTGAATTGACAAATGCCATCTTGTATATCAAACGTAGCATCCAGGTCCAACTGGGCAAATTTCATGTCTGCATTTCTTGTGTCTTGCCATCTCTGCTTCAGCTTTCCACTGGGTGCTTGCCATCTGTGATAAAATGGAAGGTGATGCAGGTGAAGGTGTGGGGTGCTGCTCATAAGACATGGCCACACCACTGTAGGGGTTTCTCCTGCATTTTCTCAGGTATTGGTGCAATGCCCATTTGCTGTCTGTGTCATTGCTGACATGGTCAAGAAGAGAAACACCTAATGGCCAATAAAGCATGTGCATCTCCATGGCGTGTAAAGAGCAATGAATTTTGTGATTGGCCAGCATTCAGCGCCATAAAAGTGAATTAATTTTATTATAAGGAAAGGTGACAGATGAATTTGAAAAGGGGTTTTATTGTTACTGTGAAAATAGAAAAACACCCTAGTTTTATTGTTGTGGTAACCAAAAAACTGTTTCCATGTAAGTAAACATTGGTGGTTAGACATGTTTAAACAACACAGTCATTATTTCTACACTTCTGGTGTGTTAAATCAAAAGTATCTTTTCCAGTTAACAACCAGAAGGAAATGGCCATCGTCCTTAACAAGAAGCAGTTCTTCCATTATGACAGCTTGAGTCCTTGAAGATTCTGTTTCATGTTAAGCAGCTCTTTCTCTTGCCTTGTCTTCTCTTGCTTGAAGGCTGACTTGTTTGCTTTCTTTTCTATCCTGCGTTCCTAATAGGGAAATAATTTACAATATTAATATATTGCTTCATGAAAATGTTCTCAAAGCAATTAGCATTGCAGATACAATTTCAGCAATATCTTTCTCAGAACTCTTGGCAGAAGAGACTTAATGTACTGAAAGGATGCCTAATTTTTCAGATGTTAATAATTCACTTCATACTTTTTAAAATAGGGCACACATCTTCCGTTTTTCTTTTCACTGCAATAACAGTAAAACAAACAACAAACAAAAAAAACCCCAGGAATTCCCCCCCACTCTGCATATAGTGTATGCCATTTAGAGATGATCTAATCAAATCAATATAAACACCATTCCAAATCATTCTACCCATATCTTGCCTAAGGGGCAATTCACAAGCCTTAGCATCTTATGTCTCCCTGCTTCTTCCTAAAGAAACATTTTCCACAAGAAATAAGAGGAAAAAAACTCACTGAAAGGGACAAAGTGAGTAAAAAAAACAATGGACTTTTGGGGAGACAAAAAGAAGGGGCAAGATTTGTTCCAGTTTTATCTTACCAGTAGTCTGTTGTGAAACGGGTCTCTCTCCTCTATAATTACTAAGTTACAGTGGAAGACATGGAATTTGCTAATTGACATTGAGAAGTCCCACCCCTTTTGCTCTGGGATTCTGGGATTATTTTTTTAAACTAACAGGTTTTTCCACAGCTTTGAGTTAACCTTAAATATTTTGACTGAGTTCTCAATTACTGCCACTGAACCATGTAAAACAACAATTTCTATTTTACTCCGCTCACTTACACTTTTTAAAAACTCAGGACAATTTATGAAAAGCAAACAAAAACAATAAGGGTAAAAAGCAACTGTCACCTCTTTCAAAAATACCCCTCCCCCCCAAAAAAACCAAACAAACTATAAAAGCAGCCCATGGCCATCATCTGAACTAATCTATGGAACAAGATTCTTTCTACTGCCTTAAGTAGAGCAAACCCAAATCCTCAATGGACAATGGTATTCCATAATGTGAGAATTGCCATTGAGAAAGCATGCCTGCAGGTCCCCATACCTTCCACTTCACAAGAGCCAGCCCCCTCAAAAAGAACATACAAGATAGCCTGAATCTGACAGGGAAAGAGGGCATTGTAAGTACACAAGTGGCAAGCCACGTTAGACCTTTACTGATTAAAACCAGTCCTTGAACAGTATTTGGAATTCAATTCAGTTCCAAGGAAAGGCCTTGGCCTCGTGGATTGGTGGAGGGCCTGTGCCCTATCTCTGCCCCTTCCCACCCAGTGTTCCTTTTCCTCAGTGTTCCAGTTAATGACCCTCACATTAACTTAATGATTGCTTTGCTCGATTACCAAAATTCAGGGCCCAGTTGTGGTCTTAAATGGAGGACTACCTATAACTTAAAATGTTTTTTTTTAATCCCCCTTTCTCTCTACCGTGTAAGAAAAAAATGAGCAATTTATTGATATTACCCTTAAATTTTACCTTAGGCCTTCTATTTAGGTTCATGCCATTTCTTTGTTCATTGGGATGGCTTTATAGTTGTCAAGTTCTATGTGTGTATGAAGCCACAATCTCACTAAAGCTAAATTCAGTGCCTAAATGGGTATCCTAAATAATCTATTTTGAGTTCCATACTGTGGGAATAATATATACACTAAGCAACATTTCTGTTGTTTAATACCTTATATAATTGAGTTATGACATAACAGTAATCCATCTTGCTTCAGTCAATTACAGGTTAATAAGGTTAATTAATTAAATACATTTATTTTAAAAAAATCAAATAAAACTTACTTTTCGCTCTTCTTTAATAGCTTGTTTCCTAGCTTTCCGATCCTCCTTACTCTCATCCTTAGAGCGTGGTTGTGTGGATATTCTTGGCAAATCACCGTCATTAATCTTTTGCATGCGCTCAGTCTGTTTAGCTGTAGGTCCTCTCTGAGGCAAAACATCTATTGGGATTCCTGTCTTCTTAGATACTTTAATTGAGTTAAGCTATAAAAAATACATGGAACTAATGAATTTTTTAAAACAATGAGTTAACTGGCTCAATGAAATGTGCAGAAACCAAAATACTAAGCCCGCCAATAAACCGAATAAAATGTTTAGGTGCCATTGGGGGGAAAAACTGGTGCCTATGTTAATTCATATTTGATATGTGAATTCATTATACATACACTATATACTCATTCACTCATTCATTCCTGTTCAGCACTTTGATAAGGTACAAGCTGGATCCTTCCTTCCTTTCCTCCCTCCCTAAAAGGGCTAACTTTCAAAGAGACAGATCACAAACTCTACACTGTTTCTACAGTATGTTCCCTCTCCCTCTCTCTCTCACACACACACGGCAGCTCAACTCACACAAAATAACTTTGGATGGTGTACAATTGAATAAAACAGCAAATGGATAAAAATGATTATTATAAAAGGATAAAAAGAAATAATTAAAATAAGGTTATTATCAAAACATTTTAAAATACACAAACCCCATGGAGAGAGCAATATCAGTCACAATGGAGCCAACTATAATTGTCTCTAGTTCCCAAAAACCCAGTCTGGATGACATAACTAGAGGGACTTCCTAAACAATAGCAGGGAAGGAGTGAGCCTAACTTCAGGGGGGAGAATGTTCTACAAGGAGAATGTCCTGGAAGAGAAGGCCTGCCTCCTGGGACCCATCTAAGGAAAATCCCTGGCTGCTGGAAACCATAACACATCTTCCCTGTTAGATCTAAAGGGAAGTTAATCTGTGACTTTTTTGCCACTTCCTGACGTTTATTTCCAGTTTCCAGCAAAATTTTGCAGAAAACAGATTCCCTTAACTGTCATAAAAAAAGTTTGTAACTTTGATTCCAGTCACATGATACCTCAGTGTACCATTACAATGATTTACGACCATAATTCTGAGTTCAATTACGGCGGTAAGTCGAGGACCACCTGCATTTGAAATTAAATATCCCTTTAGTCAAATTTTTGAATATACCTCTTAATAGTTCTTTGGATCCCACTCATTGCAATAAGAAGTTTTTAAAGTGTAATGGAAATTTCCACTCACCTTTTTTGGCACCTCAATAAGTTTTGGATGGTTGTATAAGTTTGAATAAGTACCTTAAAGAGAAGACATAATATCAAAGGTTAGCTTCTTAAGAAACTAATTTTCTCCTGAACTTTTGATTTGAAATGTCTGAAACACCTTATTAATAAACCATTTTTAAACCTATGGATGTCTTTGAGGCTAATGATAATTCTGTGATAATTAGATTAAAAAGTGAAAGCTCTTAAAGCAAATAAGTAAACTTGACTCTTAGCAAAAGTAGGATTATTCCTATAAAAATATTCATAATTCTGCATGAGGGGTCCTTGGTACTCTCTGAGCTTGTTTTCTTATAGATGTTTTATTACCCCAACTAGGTAACTCTGTATATTGCTGTTGCTATTAAATGCCAGATTAATAAAGCTTCTTTTATGGCTGACCTGATGTGGATTGTTGAGATGTTACTAGGTGTAGAAATTTCTCTTGGAAATGTGCCTATATGAGTTCTGGGTGAAGCATTTAGGGTGAGGGATGGTAATTGTTATTTGGGAATCTCGGATGGCTTTCAAAGACACAGCTCCACAAGTTACTGGATGTGAGATTCTGTTCATTAATTTGGGATCTAAGGATCAGTTGAGATCCCTGCATCCTGCTGCGTAGCAACATCCCTACCTGTGCTCCTTGACACCATCTTAGGGTTGGTAGTGGAAATTCCCGGGCCTGGGGAATTTCAATTAGCATTCCTTGGGAGTAAGCTCTAGAGTTCCTCAGGAGTTCATGGCCACCATGGGCCTATTCCAGGTCATTCAGGGCCAGTGGTCACACATTTGACTTGTTGTTTCTCTGTTGTTGTGGCAGCAGTGGTACAGTGATCTGGAATTGGAAGTCCTCTCTGTGGCTCTTCTGTCATGGTAACCTTGAGATTCTCTAGTGCTGCCCTCCACCAAAGGAAGACTGGACCTGTTCGATCAATTCGTCTATGGCAAATGATGGGCCTAGAAGGGTTCCAAAGGGGTTGGGGGTTGTCTTAATGGTCTGCAGCATAATCTGGTTCTGGCTGTCACTTGGAATAAGAGGCAAGGCTTTGGATCACATACACATGCAACCTCCTAGTTCATGGATCCTGTCACTTTCCAACTTTCAAGGAAGAGCTAAGGGAGATGAAATGGGTTAAGAGATATCTGTAGTGTTTCTGGAGATCAGTGAGGAGTGAACTTGACCTAACATAAGAGGGGTTTTTAATGATTTTTATACAGTATATTCTTTTATTATTAGATATGCCATCCGGAGTCACTATATGAAAAGAGCAGCTAATACAAATGTGAATAAATAAATACTTACTTAAAATGGATTCACAATCCCATTTTTCTTTTGGTTCTTCAATGATTAACGTTACCATTTCTTCAATCTCATCTTCTTCCTCATTCAAGGGCAACTCTGCTTCTTTCTTGGTTTCAATATCATCAAGTTTCACACAACTTTTAAAGAAAAAGAAAGATACAGAAGGCAAATAAATTAAATCTTTTAAAATACTGTCATTTAAAAAAAACTTGCCAGCTTTTCTTTCTTAAACCAATATTATTTAGCTATTTACCTGACAGTTACGGTAATTAAATAGATCATGGGACTGATTTTATGACCTTTTTTAGTGGTGAGGTATTAAGTGAACATTGCGGCTATAAAGTCAATTTTTGCCAGAAACAATGCCGAATTTTGGCAAAAACATTGTAAATTGCAGTCATGTGACCATGAGAAACTAAAAATGTCTGTAAATGCAGGCTGGTTGCTAAACTCCTAAAAGGTATTCATAGTTTGGAACTGGGTCATAAGTACCTTTTGAAAAGGACATTGTAACTTAGACTGGTTGCTAAACAACTGGTTCGTGGACCTGTTAACATTAATCAATCCAGATGTAACCAAAGTCTTAACTGAGTTCTTTCCCCAAACGTGCCACAGCCATATAAATTGTTTACATACTCCTTTGCTTTCTCTCTGAAGTAGTCATTCAAAACTTCTTGTAATCGAACACTGTCACTTTGGATGAAACCTTCTAATTCAGCATTATCCAGTGGTCCAATTTCATCATCATCAAATTGTTCGAAAAACTAAATGTGAAAAAAAAATATTGTATTTAAATCAATCCCATAAACTTTCAGTAACAAACTTAAATCACAACACTCAGATACATTTTAAAATGAATTTAAAATGTATTTGAGGACAATTATTTTTTCCACTGATGAAAAAAGCTCATGAAACGAAAGTTATTGTTATTCCAGTGATTGAGTCTATCTCTTTGTGTAATTTATATAGCCACCCATCTCACAAACAGGTGATTCTGAGTGGCATACAACAAAACTAAACCAATAAATATCCAAAATCATCACCACTGGCAAATATTAAAGTGTTAAAAACTTTAATTTCTTTTAGTGAAAAAATAAGGAAAAATTCAAGGTAAGTCATTGCATTAGATGCAGTATTATAAAACTCCTCAAAATTCTTAAGAAAAAGCACATTAATAGAGCAATACAAGGAGTGAAGAGATCAGAATTAAAATTAATATTTTTGAAGTATATGTCAATAATTACAATAACCGTTGTAAGTTTATTTCACCTTCTCAAATCTTTCATCCAGAAGTGTCAGTTGTTCATTTCTTTTCATGACTGAAGAGGTCATGGAATACTCTGTGAAACGGCTCTTGGTCTCTTCTTCCATGAAGAGAAATTCTTTCATCTTCCCTTTAAAATCACTGTCATCTGACAAAGGACCCTCAGAATCATATTCTTCATCACTCTGAAAATCTTCTCCCTCCTCTTCCTCCTCCACATCTTCCCATGCATCCTCATCTTCAGATAAGCTGGCAATAGCATATAAATTAATTGGCTTCCTTAGATTTACACTTCATCTTACTAATATGCTGATTAATAGTTCATGTTTTTTCATGTACTACTGTAAAGTATAATTAAGAATGAAATAGTAATCAATGAAGACCTGAAAAAGGAGGGGAATAATTTTGATACACCCAGTATTGGGATTCCCTCCCCAGTAGAAAACTGAGTAAAATAATAAAAATATAGTAGTATGGTTTTCATTCCATTACCAAGAGAGTTCCTTCCCCTGTTTGAGGCTTCCAGGTTTATTAGCTGTTAAGATGAAGTCATCTTCAAGCAGATTATCTGGATTTTCAAAATCAAAGTCATCATCTAGTGCTGCAATAATGTCAGGATCAAGATCCGGTCTAGGCCCTATTGTTAGATAAAAGACGTTTAAAAAAGCAGTGAATTAAGTCATTTCAAAGAATTGTCAATTTCCCTGAACACAAATTATTTACCAAAAGAAAAAAATAATTAACTACAACAGCAATCAGTTAGAAAACTACTTTCTCCTGTTACTCTCAGATCAAACCTTGGAATTTTTCAGAAGTGTTTTAAGACTAAATTGAATGGAATAGTAAACAGTGCTGTCTTCTTGATGAAAATAATGTGCTGCCTCAGTGGCACAAGGTATCCATCAAGGCAAGCAACAGTTATCTTATGCACCCTTGTAATTTATCTCTTTTTACAGATTAGGACAGTAACAGAAGTCCTCAATCACATATACGTCACTAATAATGTGAAGGACAGATTAAAAATGTATTTTAAAAAGTTTCATTTTACAATATAAGTGCACATAAAAGAATATAGTGTAAATGAAGTACCTGGAACAGGAGCAGCTTTGTTTAATAGTCCCACATCTTCTTCAAATTCTGATGCAAATACTGAGGAGGGCAGCTTAATGGTGGGAGCCTAAAGAACAAAGAATACGTAGCATTTTCTTTTAAAATGTCCAAGACACCAAGTATCCTCACTGAGTTTCTAGCATACTTTTCATTTGATACAGTGCACAAATCTTTTAATGCCTCATAATAAAATTTTTTGGAATGCTGTCAGTAATTTTATTAGCACCACTAATGAATCAAAATGTAGTAGTTTCTATCATAAAAGAATTCAATGGGTGGTTGAAAAAAGGCACATGAAAATCAAAAACATTGTTTAAAAATTTAAACTTTAAATTTAAGAAGTACTACTAGTTTGATTTGAACATACATATGGTAATCATAAGAAATACCACCACAGCAGCCAAGGACATTTTTACTTACTGGAATGTGTTGAATTTCATCTTCTACCTCCCCTTCTGTGAACACTACAATCCTGCCCTGATTTGGGAAGCTTGATGGAACAAGTTCAGAAGATCCTGAAGCTTCCTTCAAATGTTGCAAGTAATTGTAATCATCATCAAAAAATACTCCATATTTCCGCTGTTCTTCTTTTCTTTTTTCATCATTTCTCTAAGGGCATTGAAGAAGGAAATTAATGAATTCAGCTAATGTTGCTGTCAAACTTAAAGGGAAAAAAAGCATAATGGTTCCAATTACACATCTTCGTACCAATGTTGATTCTCAGAAAATTCAGAATTCCTCTATTAGGAAGAACATATGGAAAGCCTTGACATTTTTTCTGCAGCATCCTTTTCCCACAATGGTCAGTCAACTCAAGTATCTCCTGAAAGTCCATCCATAGGCAGAATAGCCCTTCCCCATCCTTCTACCTAAAGTAAGCATTAGCCTGCTTTTCTTCAGCTTTGTCATTTCTTATTACCTTTAATGTAGGCAGCAGAACTCTCTGAGGTGCACTATCATCAGCTGTCAAAGGGTCCTTCTGACTTCTGTGCACTACATGAAATGTTACAGCTTTTTTCTTTTCGATGAAAGGTTTTTTCCGTCTGTGAGGCTACAAAACAAGAGACAGTTCTTTGAAAATGGAACAAAACTGATAAGGGTTTCATTGCTTATCTATGTAAATGGGTTATTCAAATCCTCCCATGGAATATAATTGTAAAAAAACAATGTTTTATGATGCACAGAGTCACATTACTTTGATCTGGGCAACCATATAGACCAAATAAACAAACAAACAAATCTGTTTCATCTTTAGTTAACATACATATTTAGAATTCTTTTAGTTTTTAAAAATGTGTTAAATGTAATAAGTTGATTGAATTTTGTTGGGATGGCTTATCTGATTCCAAATTACACAGAGTAATTTGCAGAGCTCTAGACATCTTCTGGCAGATATGTTTGGATCATCCCATTGCAGAGAATTCCACACTGAATGTTTTTCCCTTTGATAAGTTTTATGCTTATCTCTTTCAGGACATCTAGATGATTCTCAAGTTACCTGACTTTATATACTGTATACTAACAAAATATCTCTTCAGTGTATAATAAAAAGCATGAAACCAGACTCCACAGTTCCAGTAAACCTGATACAGAGAAGACTGAATTCAGGTTGCCAAGAGAAACCTTCATCACAAGTAAATCATCTCAGCTAATCCCAGCATATCAGAGAGGGAGAAAAATGGAAATTATAAAGGAGACATTTGCTCAGTTAAACTTAACACAAACCATTTAGATTTTAAAAGTAATAAGTAATTTATATCTCATCAGGAAACAAATCACCAACCAACACAATGCCCTCAGCATAAGAATTTGACTCCACCGTAACAGCATCTAAGAAAGTAAGGTGAACAAATACTTCTAAGTGTCACAGTTACTCCAATCTTCATAAAAGACAGGAGAGGATAGTTATGATTCCTTTTCCTGGTCAAATCCCATATCACATGCAATTTGCAGTTACCTTTACCAGGTAGGTACTTCACACAGATATCAAAGTGGTGACAGATTGTGGAAGCTACACATATTTAATGGCTACACAAAGCAACACCAAAAGATTTACCTATTCACAGGAAATTATATCGTGCAAACCTAGAAACAGTTATGTTGTTGTTGCTATGTGTTGCTATGTGGAGGCCATAAAATATGTGCAGCATCCTGACTCTGTCACCACTTGGATTTCTGTGGGAGGCTTCCTGCTGGCAAAATCCTAATTGATCTGGTCACATATCCATTCTTTTACTAAGTTTTCAAATGCCAAGCTGTTCTTGACTCCACACCATTTTCATTAACTGTCAGTACAGTTGCGTATTTCAATCAGCTGCGTTTCTTAGTAACGCAGCCTCAGATTCAATGCCTGCATGGCATTACAGGGCATCAAGTGCAGGTGCCTGAACGTGCTGGTGCCTCTATTTGCATTTCTCTGGATTTCACCCATCCCGAAATGTTCCCCCTGAAAGTCACAGCAAGCTCATAAATGCTCTGCCACTGGTGAGATAGTCAGATTAAACAGAGTTGGAAGGGATCTTGTAAGGTCATTTAGTCCAACCTCCCCGCCCAGGCAGGAGACCCTACACCATTTCTGTCGATGACAATCTTTCCCAGATTATCCACCTTCCTCCATAAAAGGGTGAGAGAACGGACAGCCGCAGCCCAAGACTGCCAGCCTGCTCAAGGCTGAACTTCACGCCCCGCTCACCATTGTGCGAGGCTCCGACACTAATGGCCGTCAAGCGCCGAATGATCCACCGAACTCGCGAACCGAGTTCCCACACCTAACGAGCTTTGCTGCTCCCCGTTTTTCCGGTTCCGGAAAGAGATCGGTCTTCCGAAGTTGTCGCTCTCCGTTTCCGATCTCGTTGGTGCACTTCGAGCCATCTTGGACTATACCAATTGTTGTTGAAAAGGGTGGCAAGCAAATAAATTGTCTGGCTACAATATCCAGCAACGCTAGAAATATCGTCAAGCGAGAATGGAGTATACAGTTTTTCTTTCCATGCAATAATAACGTATTCATGCCGGGAATGATCCCAAGAAAACCATAAGCTTCAACAATGCGCTCTCCCTTTTCCGGCGGAAGTATTGGTAGAGAAGAGAAAGGGCTAGAGCGGCATAGTTCATATTACAGAATGATGTCTTTAAATAAAACCCTATAGTATACCGGAAGTGCCCATAAATGTATCGTTTCTTTCACGTGAACTTTTGTGGCTTACAGCTTGCTTACTCCGAGTGATGGTCGTCATTGACGTCTATTCTGCCTGCCCTGAGTGATGTTCGTCACTATGTGAAAGAGTATTAACGCACTATAAATCTTACGGTTTGTAATACTGAATTACGGAATAACAGAGTTGCAAGGGTCCTTGGAGGTCTTCTAGTCCAGAGGTCTCCAACCTTGGCAACTTTATGATTTCCTCAGCGGAATTCTGGGAGTTGAAGTCCACAAGTCGTAAAGTTGCCAAGGTTGGAGACCTCTGTTCTAGTCCAGCCCCTGCTCAAGCAGGAGGCTATACCAATTGGAACAAATCCAAAAAGTGCTTTTTCAAGAGGCAACTATAAGCTTCTTCGGCTCTGCTTCCATTTCCCACCAGCCACCCAGAGCCGAAGAAGCTTCTTGGATGAGAAGTGAAAGGTCTTCAAAGAAAAACCAAAAAGTCCAGTTGCCTCTTGAAAAAGCACCTTTGAGACAACCATGACCTGGATTGTTGTGATTTGAAATCTTCTGCCAGGTCTAAGGAACGAGCGGGAGCGTTTAACAGTGCTATATAGAGGGCTGTCAGATGCGATCAGCTGTTGCCTATCAGCCGCTGTGTTAGCGTGCGGTTTAGATATTTTAACCCTGTTAACTTTTAAATAAAAGGGTTACCCTGAATCTGCTGGTCTGTCTCAGTTATTTCCCACCACTGGCGATGAAGATGGGATAAGAAAATGGAGACAACCAACTGAGAGATTCAGAGCTTAAGTATTCAGAGCTGAAGTCACTCAGAGCTGTCCATTGCTGACCATGGAAATGGCACTCTCCTTTGCCTCATATCAGTTGGGAACTGATACATGGGAGTCCTATCTCGAAAGATTCGAGTGTTTTATCAAGGCAAACGATTTGAGGGACATCTCCGCTGAGTGGAAAAAAGCGTTCTTTTTGAGTTTGTGCAGTGCTGAAGTGTTAGACATGGTGGCAGCGTTTCTGTCTCCTCAGACAGTGCATGAGGTAACTTGGGAAACCATTTTGACAGTCCTGGGAAGCTATGATGCCCCCAAGCCTTCCAGAATAGCTTGAAGGCATGCTTTCCATAGGTGTTACCAGGCTGAGGGAGAAAATATAAGCAGGTACATGGCTGATCTAAGGAAAGCCGTTCAGCATAGCAGTTTCAGAGCTTTGGGCGATATTATTTTGGACCAGTTAGTTAGTGGGGTTAAAGACCTTCGACTTCAGCATCGTTAGCTAAACCAGATTTGACACTGCAGCAAGTGATTGATGAGGCTCAGGCATACGAGCTGTCCAATCAACCAGCTCCTAGAACAGGGTTGTAGTGAAACTATTCCAGCAAGAGGGAATCAGTCTGTACATATGGAACAGACTGAGGATGAGGATAGCGTAGATCCTGACCATGATATTAATCGCCTTAGACTAGAGCACCTATGGCTAGAAAGTGGTCTGGAGAAGCCAAAACCTTGCCAGGCAAAACCTCTGTGTTTAGGCTGTGGAGGGAATCGCCCCAGACAGGCCTTTAAATTCAAAAATACAATTTGCCTCAGGTGCCAAAAGAAAGGGCACTTAGCCAAGGCTTGCAGGACTCTCCTACCACCCCTTCAGAGCCCTAATTTCCAAAATACTAGGGAGAAGGGCACTGCGTATTACGAAGACTGCTTCACATTGAAGAGGATGGATAAGAAGTTTACAATTAATTTAAGACAAACAAATAGACTGGGGGAAAGAAAATTTTCGTGAAGATTAAAATTGAAAATAGTCCATGTAAAATGAAAATTGATACAGGCTCCTCCCTATCAATTGTTTCCTGGAGTACCATTAAACGTTTAGTTCCTCAGATATCAAAGAGATGGATACAGCCCTGCAGCCTTCACCTCAGAGACTACCAATCAAACCTGGTGCCAATCATTGGAATACATAAATTTAGGATAAGTTTCTAAGATTTCGTGGGAAAGCTGCCTTTAGTTATTGTGGAAGGTTCACTTCCAAGTTTATTAGGTTTGGATTGGTTTAAATCATTGGGATTGGACATAAGTGGCATCAATTCCATACAAGAATCTGAGTTAGAAAACCTCTTAATGGAATTTAAGGATGTGTTTGATGGGACTCTTGGCAAATACATAGGCAACCCCATTACATTCAACCTGGATCCTCAGGTTGCCCCCATTAGACTCAAACCTCACAGGGTTCCTTTTGCACTTAAACCAAAAATAGATGCACAGTTCGATAAGTTTATTGCACAAGGTATATTGGAGCCTGTTGATCATTCTAGATGGGAGACGTCCATAGTAACACCTACCAAAAGTGATGGCTCAGTAAGAATCCGTGGAGATTTCAAGTATACCCTTAATAAAGCTTTATAGGTACTCTTACCCAATACCTGTGGTGCAGCATTTAATCCACTCTATAGGCCACAGCACTATTTTTGCAAAATTAGATCTCTCTCAGGCATATCAACAATTGCCTGTGGACAATTTAACCGCAGAGGCACAAACCATCATTAGACACAGGGGGGCTTTTAGGTGCAGGCACCTCCAGTTTGGGGTAAGCGTAGCCCCAGGGTCATTTCAAAACTTAATGGAGTGCATATTGCAGGGTATACAGGGCGTAATACCATATTTTGATGATATTCTTATAGCTGCCACCTCAAATAACAATTATTCGAGCGATTACGCATAGCCCTTAAAAGACTACAAGATGTAGGTCTGAAAGTTAATAAAGAGAAATGCAGGGTGGGAGTTCCCAGGGTAGAGTTCTTAGGCTACTCTATTGATGCCACAGGTCTCCATCCTATTGAATCTAAAATTACTGCCATTCAAAAGGCATCAGTACCTCAAAACAAAACAGAACTGCAAGAGTTTTTGGGGTTATTAAATTTCTACGCAATCTTCCTACCACACAAGGCTACCTTAGCAGAGCCTTTACACAGATTGCTGGACAAAGGCACACCTTGGGTCTGGGGCAAGAGGCGGGCTGCTGCATTTCAGGCTGTGAAATCTCTTTTGACATCAGACAGTGCAGTGATACAATTTAATGAGAATGTACCTTTAGTACTAGCATGTGATGCTTCACAATATGGCATTGGGGCTGTTCTGAGTCATAGGTTGTCCAATGGAAGGGAAACCCCAATAGCCTTTTTCTCCAGGACTTTCGCTACAGCAGAGCGAAATTATAGTCAAACAGACAAAGAGGCTCTGGCTCTGATGGTGGGAGTTAAAAAATTTCATGAATATTTATATGGCAGGCAATTCGATCTAGTTACAGATCATAAACCATTATTAGGATTATTGGCTGGGGACAGACACCCCAGGCGTTATCCCCACGTATGATTAGATGGACAATTTTCCTGGCTGCGTATAGTGTACACTGTTGCATCAAGCTGGAAAAAATGTATGCCACACTGATGCTTTGAGCTGCTTCCCCTTACCTATAACTGTCAGTGACCCAGCTCCTGTTTCCTCCATTTTGATGATAAATGAATTGCAAGCACCTATAACAGCTTCTAATGTGGCAAAGGCATCTACACGAGACAGGGTAATCTCTCAAGTCATAGACTGGGTTAAGAGGGGGTGGCCCACTCAGCAAAATTCTAAAGAGTTTCACCCCTTTTACACAAGACAGCATGAACTCTCAACACAAGGGGGCTGTTTGTTATGGGGTACCAGAGTAGTTATACCTTCATCATTACAGAAGCAGGTTTTGGAATTCCTGTACGAAGGACATCCAGGAATGGCTGAAATAAAAAGTTTAGAAGGAGCTACGTCTGGTGGCCCCAACTTGATAAAGACATTACCAGTTGGGTTACTGGGTTCCAGCCCTGCCAGGCCTCACGCTCTGCAGCCCCAAAGGCAACACCAACAGAATGGGAAAATACGAAAAAACCATGGTCAAGAATACACATACATTTAGCTGGCCCATTCCAAGGGAAAACTCTTATGGTTGCAGTAGACTCATATTCTAAGTGGCTGGAGATTGTGTCCATGTCCTCCACCACTTCTGATGCCATAATCAGATCATTGAAAAGACTGTTCACAACTGAGAATTTCCATAAACAATCCAAGCAAATGGCTGTCTAGTCTCTTTTCTAAAAACCTCCCATGATGGATCACCTACTACTTCTGAAGTCAAACCACTGATTGTTTTTCACTGACACGAAATTTCTCACTTAATTCTAGGTTTGGATCTCTTTTTGTAAAGCTTCCCCATCTGTTACTTCTTGTCCTGCCCTCAGGTGCTTTGGAGGATAGGCTGCCGGCTTTGTTTCTGTGACAGCCTCTCAAATATTGGAAGATTGCTATTATGTCAGGCTGAGTCCTTCTCTTTGTTAGTCATACTCAGTTCCTGCAACTCTTCAACCTATGCTTTAGCCTCCTGTCCTCTATATTTATCTTTGTTGCTCTTCTCTGTACTCAGTTTCTGAGTCTCAACATTTTTTTTTGTTATTGTGGTACTAACACTTCACATGATCCTGATGCTGTCCCTCTGGGGGTGCAGCCTAGGACGGCATTGGCTTTTTGGTAGCTGCATCACACTGCTGGATTAAATGATTGGTCAGTAGGTCTCCTAGATCCCTGTCACAGTTACTACTGTTAAGCC